TAATTGAATTAATTGAATTAATTCAATTATTTCAATTAATTCAATTAATTCATTTATTTCCAAATGGGGGGTGGGGGCTGGGGAATCCTCCTCCCCCCAATACTAAACCACGAGCCCGGGCCTCCCCCCAATACTAAATCACGAGCCCGGGCCTCCCCCCAATACTAAATTACGAGCCCGGCCTTCCCGCAATACTAAATCACGAGCCCGGGCCTCCCCCCAATACTAAATCACGAGCCCGGGCTAAATCACGAGCCCGGCCTCCAAATTACGAGGCCGGGCCTCCCCCCAATACTAAATCACGAGCCCGGGCCTCCCCGCAATACTAATTTACGAGCCCGGAATGGTGCCCCCCCCCATTTGGAATTAATTGAATTAATTGAATTAATTGAATTAATTCAATTAATTCACCCCCCATTTGGAATTAATTGAATTAATTGAATTAATTCAATTAATTCCATTAATTCAATTAATTCAATTAATTCCATTAATTCATTTAATTCAATTAATTCCAAAAGGGGGGGGGGGTGAATTAATTCAATTAATTCAATTATTTCCAAATGGTGCCCCCCCCCCCGCCCCCAGCCCCGAGCCCCCCACCCCCCCCATTTGGAATTAATTGAATTAATTGAATTAATTGAATTAATTGAATTAATTGAATTAATTGAATTAATTGAATTAATTGAATTAATTGAATTAATTGAATTAATTGAATTAATTGAATTAACTGAATTAATTGAATTAATTCAATTAATTCACCCCTCATTTGGAATTAATTGAATTAATTCAATTAATTCAATTAATTCAATTAATTCCATTAATTCAATTAATTCCATTAATTCATTTAATTCAATTAATTCCAAAAGGGGGGGGGGGTGAATTAATTGAATTTATTCAATTAATTCAATTAATTCAACCTCCCCAAGTGTAAATAAATGAATTAATTGAATTAATTGAATTAAATTCTGTCTTGGCAACCCTACAGAACCTAAAATAGGGTCTATTTGGAAGTTGTCTCTTGTAAATAAGTATACGTTTTGGGGCCTGATTTCCTCTTGAAAACACGAGTCTCAGCTTCCAAATAGGACCTATTTAAGCTGCCACGGGGGGCGGGGGGGGAGGAGGGGGGAGGGGGGGGGGGGGGAGATGGAGGGGGGAGGGGGGGGGGGGCTGCGTTAGACGGAGAGAGGGAGAGAGAGAGAGAGAGAGAGAGAGAGAGAGAGAGAGAGAGAGAGAGAGAGAGAGAGAGAGAGGAAAGGAGGAAGAGTGACAGAGGGACATTGTTGATTAACAAAGAAACGGAAACATTCCAAACAGCATGTCCCAGGTTCGTTCTGGCGTTCAGAAAGCCTCGGATATGATTCAGGTTGACCTTGTTGCGGTAGAACGGCGAAGTTCCTCCAAACTGCTTCAGAATCTCATCCAGGCGAAAGAGGGAGCCTCGGATGATTCATTATTCTTCACACAAGTAAATCTAGAGGAATGAATTATTAGTTCACTACTCTCTGAGTACAACAGTCACACCCTGAACCGAACCCAATTGGCCTTCAACATATGGTCTCCACCCCAAGGACTATTTACTGATAATCAGGTTACAAGACCTATTCATTCTCAACTTTCCAAGTGTCATCCAGTGTAGGCCTCTGGCTTGAACACATTCATTTTCACATTTCGGATTTCTTGTCCTTCGAAATCAGGAGGCTGCAGTTGCACCGGCTCTGCCCCTTCTGGCCCAGCACAAACTTTGGTCTGCAGGGCTTTGATGGATGCACACTGCAAGTTGGGCAGCGAGGCTCCATTGTTTTTCGCCGTCCGTTTTACATTGTCCTCGATGGCTGCGAACATGCTCTCTATGTTCGCCGAATGGCTCAGTCTGGGAAACCAAGCCAGCACCATATCTGTCACGGCTTCTGAAACCGTCCAGTTGCTCTGCTCCAGCAGGGTCAATGGCTCACGATAGCACCGAAATCTGGTGTGAGGAGAAACTCTTTTCAGTGTGGCATTGCTGTTGGCCTCTGTCTCCAAATCCAGAATCGTCTGCCACTCCAGCTTGCATTCCTCCAGCACTTTCTTCTTGACTTCATCCTCGTAGCGGAACTCCGATCCTTCCACTACCAAACAAGCCAGCTTTGCCGGGCACGATGTCAGGTAGACGGAGTACATGCTCAGCTCGAACAAGGAGCAAAGGACTGCTGCGAAGTAGTCCTGCAAGGTCTCCTCCTCTGGCAAAGTTCTGCGATGTGTTACCTCCAGTACCTTGGTTGGCCGTCGGTCTAGTGCTTGACAAACAGAGTTCGATTTAGTTTTCAGCAAGACATGATTTCAAACCACTCCGTTTGTGGTTTGTGGAGTTTTGGTAGGGGAGGGGGGGGGGGAAATGTTCAGAACTTGCTTTTGTTGGAACAAGAAAGGCTTGGATATCGGGTGCTAATTGGCTTTCTTGGGCCTAGTCTGCGGCTAAACTAATAACATTGACCAGGAGCGAGATGAGCTCATTAGATGACAACTTGAGCAGGAACTAACTGCCAGGCACTAAGGTTTGCCAAAGCTAATGATGCTCGCAGGCATGTATTGCCAGGCGATAAGTAGATTCGCCAATAATTACAGAGCACAGCAATATTGGTCTAGTTCCTGGGCAACCGTTGACAATAGAGTAGAAAATATGAAAAAACAAATAGGTATCAACATAAATATGAATATCAATATAAATAAATATAAATACTATATATATATATACATATACATATTTGCATATATATATATATATGCATATTATATAGAATTATTTTTATTTATGATTATGAGTATTATTTCTTTTATTTCATTGAACTCACGATTACAAAACTGCTTCAGAATACCAGGCAATTCTCTAGAGAACAATATGTTTGTCTCCAACTGACACAGTGTCCTTTTTGCTAGCCTTTCACGATGTATTGCTTGCACCAGGGTGTCTAGACTCATTCACTCACAAGCGAACAATGCGGGGTTTCCACGACCTGTGGAGTAGCGAATGTTCAGACAACATCTGCGAAGGATCTGGGCACTTGGTGCAGTTGTTTTCACCTTTGCACTCGGCGTGAAATCACACGTCAGCACCCTTGTCTGTCGAATTGAACTGGCCTGAAAACACAAGATTAAAGTTGCACCCTTGTGCATTGAGCACTTGAATTAAGCCTGCGTGGAAGGAAAGCCACGGGGGGAGGATGCCCTGGTACTTGTAGCTAGATTACCGGTAGATCCACAGTGTCCACCTTCTCTGTCGTGGTGAAAAGCTTGTGGAGATATCTGATTTGGCATCTCCATGTTGCCATGGCTGCTTCCCACTTCCTCCTTGGTTCATGTTCACAAACTCTTGGCGTCCTCGGAGGGGATGGCAGGCTGTCGAAATTCCTTGCCTTCAGCTCCTGCAAGTGGTTCTGAACAAAGAGATACTCGGGCGTGGCCTTCGTTGCATCACGTACTCGAACTCTCTTGCCCAATTGGTGGAGACTTGCCCGTGGAGCTTCGCTTCCATCCATGTTTTTGTTCTCGGAGTCACTCATGTGTTACTTGAGGAAGAAAAAAAGGCAGGCTTAGGCACTTCGAGCCTTCTTGGTGTCTGCGAAAGCAAGCAAGTCAATCAGGGCAAAGTTGATCCCAGCACATGCATTCTACTTAGCACTTGCTCTGTCACTGTCACAGATCATGTTATGAGTCTTCCATCCAATTTATTCAAGTTGCTTGGACCCCATGCTCTGCTGCTTGCCCACGAACATCCACAGACATCCTCAATCTCTCCCGAGCCTTGGGGCCGATTGCCCCTTGTAGGGCCTTGCGAAGCATCTCTCCAAACTCCGGCCCGTTCACGAAGAGAGTGTGCTTGTGCAGCGACAGCAGCTCATCCACACGGCGTTCCTAAGATGAAAACAGAGTTTAGCTTGCCAAAACACAGCCTGACTCAACACATGGTATCTCCATTGATATACAAGCATAATCTGAAGCCAAGAGGCCAACCACAAAGTCATCTCCAGGAATGGTTCACACAAGGGCAGCACTGCATCGAAGAGAGCGTGAGATTGGTCGTCCAGCAATGCCTGTCATTCGAAAGGAAGAAAGAGAGAGAGAGAGAGAGAGAGAGAGAGAGAGAGAGAGAGAGAGAGAGAGAGAGAGAGAGAGAGAGAGAGAGAGAGAGAGAGAGAGAGAGAGCGGGGGGGCGAGAAAGAAAGAGAGAGAGAGGGCGAGAGAAAGAAAGAGAGAGAGAGAGAGAGCGAGAGAAAGAGAGAGAGAGAGAGAGAGAGAGAGAGAGAGAAATAAAGAGAGAAAGAAAGAAAGAAAGAAAGAAAGAAAGAAAGAAAAGAAAGAAAGAAAGAAAGAACAAGAGAGAGAGAGAGAGAGAGACAGGACAAAATGATAGAGAGAGAGAAACTAAACAAAAAGAGGGATAGAAGAGAGAGAAGACAGAGAGAGAGAGATGAGAGAAGAAGAGAGAGCAGAGAGAGAGAGAGAGAGAGAGAGGAGAGAGAGAGAGAGAAAGAAAGAAAGAAAGAGCGGACGGAGAGAGAGAAAGAGAAAGAAACAGAGAGAGAGAGAGAGAGAGAGAGAGAGAGATAGAAAGAAAGAAAGAGGGAGAGATACAGAGAGAGAGAGAGAGAGAGAGAGGGAGAGTGAGCTTTCCTTCCCTTCCCTCCCTTTCCTTCCCTTCCCTTCCCTTCCCTTCCTTTCCCTCCTGCCCTTCGCTCCTGCCCTGCCCTGCCCTCCCCTTCCTCCCTCCCTTGCTCCCTCCCTCCATCCCCTGCTCCCTGCTCCCTGCTCCCTGCTCCCTGCTCCCTGCTCCCTGCTCCCTGCTCCCTGCTCCCTGCTCCCTGCTCCCTGCTCCCTGCTCCCTCCTCTCTCTCTCTCTCTCTCTCTCTCTCTCTCTCTCTCTCCTCTCTCTCTCTCTCTCTCTCTCTCTCTCTCTCTCTCTCTCTCTCTCTTGCATTGCGGGCCTTGACACACATCTGCATCACCCGATCATACTGGCATGTTTCGCTTGCAGCGGATACACTGAGGCAGAAGGGATTCCGTCCTTCCTGTTCTCAGAAGAGTTTTTGACTAGTGTGGCAAGCAACAGGATTATTGGAAGCTGTCAGCAGACGGTCCTCTATAGCAGACCACAGGATGGCCAAAAGAGTGCCCGTGTACTGGAATGCTTTCCCCGAGAACCCCCACGAACACCAGCGTTTAAATTCGTGGATGTTGCCCGTTCTCCTGTCATGCCCATACAGCATGCATGACAGTGCGAGACCCGAACACTACAATGTCTTCCCACAGTAACTGTCAGGCTTTGGCCTTTGAACTTTGTCCAGGATCTCCACCACTCTCTCGAAGTCAAGGCTAGCATCCCCAGTGATGTCATATCCGTTCCTAAGCACATGGAAAGCCACAAAAAAAACAATGCAAATTGCTGCTGCTTTGGTTGAGTTGCTCAACGAGGATATCGTGGCCATAGAGCTGCTGCAGCAGATCGTGTGGATGAGCCTGTGTCAAGGAAACTTCTCTTCTGAAAAAGCACAAGTTCATGCATTGGACATCTTCATGCCGGCCATGCTAAAAGAGTGAGTAACTGAATGAGTCAGGACACGGCATTCAAATATCGTTTAATTGCCTCTCTGAGGCTTGCATCGACTTTGAATGTGTTCCAGGGGCATTTCCGGACTCTCATCACCCACGAGGTGAGGGATGTCATACCTGGGAACAATCATTTTTCTTTTGGATTGAAGAAAAGTGAAGCCTCATATTCAGACATGTTGCGCCTCATTCCCGGGGTGCAAACCAATATTCGCTTGAAATGCGAGTGCAGCTTATGCCTGAAGCAAATTAAGCATTGTTTTCACTGGAAACATACTGCATCTGTGCAGACATCTTCTTGCACAGCAAGACACACCTCGTCACGGTTGAGCCCAACTGGGAGGTTGCGAAGGGCAAGAAATTGGTGGGCCGTGAAAAGGGGGCCCCCCTCGTCGGGGTCAAAATGAGCCTCGTGCCAGCATCATGATCAGCATCCACACTAATCCATCTTGCTTCGCCTGTTTTCTCGTTGAAGAGGAAAGGCTGGCCCTCGTAGGACAGGCGGGTTTCGGAAAGGGATGGGTCGACGGCATCCAAGGAACCCACAGGTTGCTGTAGATGGATGTCACAGAGTGACAAGACATGAAGCACAGCTCGTAGGTGCTCACGGGAAGACAGCCGTTGTTGCCGAATTCGGCCGACATGCTTGGGCCTGTTCGTGGTTTGTGTTTACTCTATCTCATCAAATTTGAAAGGACAAGGTGAAAGTAGTTGCGGGAAAGGAAGACAATGTTACTGCTTAAGTTGCAATAAGCTTCATCTTGGCTACCGTGTTGGCCTTGCTGTCTTTTTGAATCATCTGAGCTGCAACTTTGTCTGCCAAACTTTGCAGCTCTTCCATCTTCACTTCGGTAGACACAGTGCTCACATTCAGATCATTGAGCGATTGCAGAACCCAAGCAATAGCCTTCTTGCCGACATTCACGATCGGTAGCCATACCTCGGTTCACACAAACACATGTATTGGAAACAGCGAAAAGAAGCCAGCACTACTTCCATTCAAGCTTCGTCGAGCTTTGCCTTTGGCGAGGCGTCACATAGAATGTTCACACTTTTGAACCGGCATTTGTCCAGCTCCTCTGCGGGTGCAGAACAACTAGCCCAAAAGAGAAAAACAACATCCCATTCAATCAGTATATCCTCGTGTATCGTCGTTGCAGCCTTTCGCATGTATCGAACCATGAAATCCGTAGCAATCCTAGGCAGCAAAGAAGATTTGCAGCCAGGTCTTGAAGAAGTGCCACGAACCAAAACTGCAAGGCAGCAGTATGCTCTCAAGTGGCCGGTGTGTTTGGCCGGGGCAAACATCTCCCAAATCGAGCTCTTTCAAGCTCCGGTGATCTGCCGTTGCAGTTGCGAATCCACTGCCTTTGGCAAACCATCTGTCCAGATGCATCACATGCTTCGGCTTCATTTGATTTCGCAGCTTGCGACCATCCCTGAGTGGCGAAGAAGAACAAGAACAGCAGCAGCAACATGGAAACACTTTCAACATGCCACAAGTAAACAAGAATCTGTGCACACACCCACAAAACATGTGGAGAATCTTTTTGGCAGGGTGGAAGTCATCTTTGGCACTTGGTGCTGGCATTTCATTGATCAGAACACGATCGATGTTTTGCTCAACCATCTGGCTGATTTGATGAAGCAATCTGGTATGTAGTCGCCTGACTGGCACCATGTCCTTCCCATTGTTTCAACATTGTTTCATGCACTGTCTAGAGTTCGCAAAGCAAGGAGGTCCTGCGAGATCGTTTCCTTGAAGGACTGTCGCAGAAAGAACAGCACGACCAGGGAGAGACGAACCCCTGTTCCAGGATGTGCTTAACTTAAGAACTCTGTTTCCATGGACTCTCGGTGCTTGGATTTGCCTGCTGACAGCTTCTTCTGCTGCGGGGTCAGGAGCTTGGTTTTTCGCCACCTGGGACAACAAATTGTATTTCGGTTGGGAACCCGAAGAACAGGCCTGTGCATGGCCTGTGGAGCCAGCCCAAGCAATCCAAGCATGCTTCCATCTGGCACAGATCCACAGCACCATCTTGAAAAGAAAGCTTGCCTGAGCTGCTTTCAACGAAACTGTAGCAGTTCAATTCGATTCAACTGCTGCGGGTGGGAAGAACTAAGTTTCGTTTCCAGGGCACAAGCAGGAACATTTGGCAGCAACTGGATGGAAAAGTTGCTGGGGCATGTGTTTTCCAGAAGAACATCGAGTCCTCGTAGGGATCCCTGCATGAGATCCGGCTTGCATCCCTTCACCTGCAAGACACAGACCACCTCAGCAGCACAGGTTGCAAAGCAAATGAATCACAGCACGGACACACACACACAGAAACTAATTTCGAGCGGGCCACCAGAAACATTGCACCCAGGATTGTCGCTGCATCAAACGGCATCTGGACTGATTGGTCTTGCGTGGAAATTCGCTTCCCTTTGTAAGACGGGGGCCGAGGAAGGTGTTCATCGATGCTGATCTTCCAAGCATAGGCCATCTCGGCAGTCATGTTGTCTCGCCTGCAGGACTGAAGCAAAAACAATCTCCAATATGTAGACATGCAATACATGATTTGTGAAATCATGCAATATTTCCTGTTCACTGCAAGTCACACTTTGGTATACCAGTTGAAATATTTTTGTTGTCTTGCCAAGACGGGCCAGACTTCGTCCACCTGAAGAAATGAATGTAGCCCTCCACATTCATCTCGTCTTGAACCTGAAGCGGGGAGAGGGAGAGGGAAGGGGAAGGAGAGTGGGAGAGAGTAGAGGGAGAAGGAGAGGGGGGAGAGGGAGGGAGGGAGGGAGGGAGGGGAGGGAGGGAGGGAGGGAGGGAGGGTAGGGAGGGAGGGAGGGAGGGAGGGAGGGAGGGCGGGAGGAAGCGGGAGAGCGAGAGAGAGAGGAGAGAGAGAGGGAGGAGAGGAGAGAGAGAGCGGAGACGAGAGAGAGAGAGAGCGAGGATGAG